TCATATTCTGCTTCACCATCCTCCTCCCCCTGCTCTATCAGCTTGCTTGGGTTCGTCAAGATCGATTCTTTATCTTCTTTCTTCTTCCTTCCTAGTACGATTATGCATGTTTCTTTCACATTGCTTTGAAAGAGTTCTAGTGTTCATCCACACAGGTTTCTTCTGCGGTGTTGCTCAGTATCTCCCACTTTGTTCTGATGGCTGACATGAAAATTTCCTTTGTAGTTTCGTCCTTCAGTTCAGTTTCTGTTCTGGGTGTTGAACTTGAAGTGTGGTCTATCACCAGCTTCTTTGAAGGCTTTCAACTTAATTTTCAAAGTAGGTTCTTTGCACTGGGTAATGAGTGGTCGTAGCTTACGTCTGCTCCCCTTCTTGATCTCGTGCCAAGTAGGCTGTGTCCTGGCTTTCTTTACATTGAGATGAAGTCGATCTGATTTTTAGTGTGTCAGTCTGGTGAAATCCATGTCGCTTTGTGGATATTCCTACGCTTGAATACACTGCCTTGCCTCCAATCACCAAATCATTGAATGCACAGAATTCTGCAAACAGTTTGCCATTCTCGTTCATTTCACCGAGTGCTGCCCGACACATGATCAGTTCTCTTTCTGTGTTATCCGCTCTGAGTTTGGCATTCATGTCGCCCTTTAGAATTTTGATGTCGCCAACTGCAGTCTTGTCCAGTGTTGATTGCAGTTGTCTGTAGAATTCCTCCCTCTTCTCTTCATCTGCATTATTTGTAAGTGCGTAGTGTAGCACTGTATGGTTGTGGTTTGAAATCATCACTTAAGATGGTTATAACTTGAATTACACTAATGCAAAGTTTCATATGGCTCTATGACTCGCGCTTAGGCACTTATTTACATCCTTTACCAGGCTAACATTTGTTAGCAGATAATACTCCTCTGTTATACCCACTCATAGCATGTGGGTGAAAGGTCTCTATTTGACAGTGTACCACCTTGATTTGGTGACCGGCCATTTTTATTTGCTCCGGCTAAATCAAGCCGTCTTTATCTTTTTTGTTTCTTACATTATCCATGCATTGGAATCATTATTCATTGTGGGCATACATAAGTTATTGATGATCTTTCTGCTCCCGTTGCTGTGATCTTTAATGGTGTATGTGACTATAGCAACAAGAATGATGTTCATAGTAAACCTCAGCAAAATGTAACAACTTTCCCTACCAGGTAGAGAATGGTCCGACATAATGAAGACAGTCATATAAACTCAGGTACTTATATGATTTTTTCACGGAAATCTTGCGAATAGAGACTAAGAACGTTGTGTTATCAATAAACCTTCTCATAAAATTCATTTGCCATCTAATAGATTTGTTTCCCAGTAAGTAAATCATTAATAAATGAAAATGCGCAGCTTTGATTACACTAGTTATTCGCAAACCTAACTAATCAGCTGATTCACTGACTGTGTATTTTAAGAATGGAAAAGTTACATATGTTAAGAGTGTCCTGTTCTCTGAGCGAAGGTATTATTTGGCAAATGTTTCAATGTCATGCTTGACAACGCCATCAGAGCTTCACTTCATTGTGAAAAGTTTGCCAAATAGAACCATAGCTCATAGAACAACTCATTGTGAACATCTACCCCTTGAGCTACAAATATTCGCCACAATTTCCAAAGCTGCACATAAAATGATATGGCGTCCTTATGTTTTACAATGTTGTTGGAACACTTCAGTTATTTTATTTTCAGTCACCATCAATTAGGCATGCATTATGTTCACTGATTTCGCCTCGATGTTTTTATGAAATTTTTTTCATTACCACGTGATACGACAATGTAAGGTGATTTTAACGAAAACATATCTATACTTAAAATACTTTTTCAAAGTTGATTAGCTGAGATTTCTTTGTGACTAGTTTTTTAGCAAATTCCTTGCTACGATCCATGAGATTCAATTAGGAAAAGGATGTGTAATTCTCCAACATTTGTCTGCGAGGATGATAAATCCACTGTTTAAAGATCTATGTATGAGAAAATTTTGGTACATGATCTTGTATTTTGTCAAATAAGATTTGACTGCAACCAACTTTTCCTTTCTAACTTGTATTGACTCACACTAATCCAGTGCGTTGTCTTCTACTAAGAGATTGTTATTGTGTTGAACGCGAGCATAATTCATATTGTGTGATCAGAGTTATTGCTATCTATTTTGTAAGTTGATAATCTGTAATGATATTACAGTCATATTAGTTGATTTATATCAATAATCGATTATTAATTAAAAGTTTTCATGCTTCTCATTTGAAGGTTGAAGGCCAGCGTGTCTTTGTTTTTTATCTCCCTTTTTCTCTTACCTCTTGCACCACCTTCATATTCTTGTTCCTGAAACAACAGCATCAGCACCTACTTCAACATGAAGACAATGAAAGCTTCAAGAATAAACCATCCAGCTCAGAGAACTCAACACAACCAAAATCACTCAGTTGAGCTACAAATACTCTCCATCATTGTAAAATGTTCATCATATGTTCAGCTTAGAAGTAAAAGAAGAAAGTTTATCTATCTCGTGTAATTTCGTCTTCCGAGTTTATATGATTTCAAAATCTTTGACTAGACGTCTTTAGTTGCTATCATAACTTCTTTGTTTGACATGAAGAGATACAAACGCGTGTCATTAAAATGAATTCAGAAATTTCTATTTATTTATACATTTTTTGATACTATCTTCTATTACCTGTTTTGACATAAGAATGTTAGTTGTCATGCTACTCAGTATATGCAACTTTCAGTTATTCATGTTGTTACCTACTGAGACTATATGATTTATTGCTGTCATCTGGCTGGGTTGCTGGCGGCATTTCTGGACGAAGTGCAGGTGGTGGTCAATTCAATAGCTTTTTGAAGTGGTCAGACTATTGTTTACTTTGTTTCTCCACTTTGGTAACTAGGTTTCCTTCACTATCTTTCATTGGTTTCATCGGTGTTTATCTCTTCCCAGACAGTAACCTGGTTATTTGATATAATCTTGTCAGGTCTCTCCTACCAGCAGCCTGTTCTGCTTCACTTTCCAATGTATCGTAGAAGTGTCTTTTGTCTTTCAGTGCAGTCTTCTTCACTTCTTTGTCCAGTGGTTTATAGGTTGCGTTCAGTTCCCCTTTTCGTTGTTCATCCCAGCACTGGTTTATCTTCTGATACCGATAGTATTAGACGTTATAAAGGAGAGGAAATACATGTAATTGAAAAATTATAAAATATTCAGATGTAATAAACAGTGTTTACACATTCATCTAGACACTTGAATTGCAAAGTTTGTCATGGGTTCGAAGCGCGCTCCGTCTGTAAAGGTTTGGGCAGGTAGATAGAAAAAACTAACCTTTACATAATAGATGTGAACCACTGTTTACTGAAGGAAACTGCACGTAGACGTTCAGCTTATTCCGCAAAAGTCTGCAGCGCTGTGAACGATATTGAGTCATTTACACTCACTAGCTGGTCAGTCAATAAAGTTGTTATTTATTTACTAAGATGCAGCCGCAAACCAACAGTTGAAGTAAGTGGAAAGAAACTGGATACGGTATTCAACATAGATTCGTTACACAGTACTTTAAAAATGCATCCATGTCAAAAGTTTTGCATATAGAGAAGCGAATCCCTTATTCCTCGATTTGGAAAATTAACATGAAAGGACTATTAACGTTTTCATATTTATGTAGCTAATGTACTGAAGAAACTAAGAATGTGCTACGTCATGTTTATGCAGGTTAAGCACTTTAGTGCTTAAATGACACTTTACGGATATCAGCCTGTGATCAGGCAACATAAATTATTAAACGCTCTTATTTGCAGTATACATAGAACTGCTGAAAATAAAATAATTATTAACTAATGTGCTGTAAAAATTCTCATTTCTGGTTGATATTGCAGACGTTAATTCACTACGTTCGCTCATAAATAATTACTTATGTAAAACGTAACCGCGAAATTCTATTTACCCATCCTTTAAAAACACATCAGCTGGTCATACCTCGGTTTGGCATGCGTTTTGCTATCACCTGTCAAATGTAAAATGATGCTCCAGGATTGGTCTGCTGAAAGTACTCCCAGTTTAATGATAGGGAGTGGATAGGAAAGGTGAAATGTTTCGACGACTTCATTCCCTTGGGAAGTTGCATTAGCCCGAACAGGTTGGTTGTTGACGAAATCTCACCTCGGATACACAAGGCCTGTTTCGCATTTGCCAACTTGCGTCACCTGTGATACCCAATGGCGAGATATCCGACTACCTACCAAGGGACAAGTATACTGCGCTACAATCCATTCCGTCCTGTTGCATGGTCGAAACATGGTCATTAAAAGTAGGAGCAATGAAATGATTACTGAGTTCCAATCATAGGTATCTTTGTTCACGTTTGGTGGAATCACCGTGTGAGCAATGTTAAGGTCAGACGAAGGGTACTAGGCAAGACGATTGATGAGGTCGTAAACCTTAGTCGACTGAGGTGGTTTAGACATACACTGCGCATGCCGATCCACCACCCACTTGGACGTGCAATGTTGAATTAGGTTCAGGGTGATCAGAACAGGCGAGATGTGACATCAGTAGATGAAGTTTCTGAGTGTTGGTCTGTTGCGTGGGAGAGATGTAGATTGTCTGGCTGGTTATGGTCCCCGAGATGAAATAAATCAATGGATGAGGACTCTTCGTGACATGGCTGAAAGTCTGTCATAATGGCGCAGATGTATTCAGTTCTCCACGTCTTCTAAAGCTTGAAGATTCGCACTAAACTTCCTTCATCTATGGATTGTTTATTTCCTCATATAACTTTGTCTACTTTGATATCACTCTTATTGTATCCACCTGTTTTCTGTGAACTACCGTGAAGTGTGGCGAATTGATTGGATGCACGTGTGTGGAAGGTTCTACGTTGATTTTGTCAGTCAGCCCATATTTCGGGAGATTTATCTATGTATTTACTCGAAGATTTGTAGTCTGTTGTAAACTAGAACCATCAAGAATTAAAACTAATCTAAAAGAACTGATTCAATGAGTATATTTATAAAAACAGTTTCACCGAATCTTCTTAGCATTCAGTGTTTCCTGGAAAAATATGATCGAATAAATCTGAACTCCCAGTTGTTATGCACAAATGGTTTTATTCAGAAAACCTTCAGAAATTCCAAATCAGAATAACTGAAGAAAAAAGCAGAAATAATTACTGTAGACAAACTTTGTATGTTAAATAGACACGTTCTCTTGACCTTTCAAGAAAATACAAAAACATCCAATGTGCTAATATGGAGAAAATGAAAAAAATATAAAATATACTGGATACTGTAAAGAGTCTGTTATATGAGTAAGTAAGACAGTAACGGAGGCACTTGTTGAAGCCAATTTGTTTTACGGTACGCTCAAGTACTCTATAGGATTGGTATCTCGATGAAGTTAGCCAGCCAACAACATGTTATACTGTAATGTAAAAAAACAAAGCGAGAAATACAATAGGAGTCAAAGAAATGGATACACTTTTGGCAGTGTATCACACATCATGACAAATCCAACTAGCCTCCTTGAGCAGTTGTAAATCACTTATAAATAAATAGTGCTGCCTAGCTAGATCAAAGCAAAGTGAATATCATATGACTGTGTTGTGAACAGTTCGGTTCCGTGGTTGGAATCAATATATCAGTACATCGCTCAAATGCTAAGTAGAAATTGATAAAGTTGTCATTCACTGTTAACTACAATCTAGCTACCAAAAGCTAGTTAACAATATGAGTAGTTTCCTAGGAACTATTAACTCTTTGGGTTATACAATGCCTAAGATATTTCTTCGAGTGAGAACCTCTCTGTAGCTTTCACAGCGACCATAGTTATCAGGAAGTAGCTATCAATGAAATTGCTATTAGGTTTTTTCGTTCTATCCAAAACACGAAACATCAAAAAGTGTGTATTTGGGCTCCAGTTAGAAGTAACACGGAACATAGCTAACAGTAATGTCATGTAATTCATTGTGGTGACAACAAATTAAATCGATAAACTTCAATTAGCACTTACAAGTTTGCAGTTATATCGGTTACTATGCAGTAACCCGTTTTTGAACATATCAACAAGTGGTCAATTCTAGGGTTGTATGGACTAGACACAACCCCACTAAGTGCGCGGATGCAGGTTCCAACTTCCAAGTGGAAACAAATTTCCTTAAAGTCTCAGACATTTAATATTGGTGAACGCCGAATAGCATGAAGTATGTGTAAAACAGCGTTTTCTGTCAATTGACTCTCATCAATGTAATATACATACCTTTATAATGAAATTAATAGTCTGTGTGCATATAACGACACATCTCCTTTGATGCTCATTTAAATAATAAGATTTAGTTACAAAAATCTGTTTGCGAATGCTGTGAATGAGGATTTTTTTGAAATTGATACTGATGATACTTATTAATTGATTGACCTACCCTCACTCGGATAGTTGATCAATATGGATGTCTCATTGAAAATGTCAGTCACGACCCAAATAATCACTAGGTGACGCAGGTTCGAATCTCTCAGAGGACATCAATCCCATTGAGGTTAAAGGAAACGCCATTGCTGAAGAGTGCTAAAAGTCTCTTACCAATGAACATAATTCATACTTTTTGCTACTTTGTTCGAACAGATAATCGAAAAAGCAGAAATGTACTCAGCAACCTTGTCCACATTCGTTCAGTAGGCGATGGATGAGCCACACCTATTGTATGAGGGATAATAATACTACCTGGTTGCTTAAACCTCAGTAGGTGGAGTGGTATTCAAACCCATAACCTACTGATTGAAAGTCAACTGCCTAGACCAGTGAGTCATAGAGCTCCACTAAACAGATAATCCACCAATTATGATGATTGTTTTCATCAATGTAAACTACTTAAAAACATGATGTAATCCAAGGTTTATCACAAAACACTGGAAATGCAATGACACTAGCTACAACGCATAGCTGATATCAATCAGTGAAGAAAGTTATGCATTAATACTTGCGTTATACTTTAGCATAATCACCGCCTAACCTAATCACTTGTATGGATTGTTAATAGGTTTGACAAATATATATGAGTTAAGATCTTTCGAAAATTTGACTTACGTATATATACAAGTAAAAATTATTATTTATATGCAGTGAAAATTTCACATCTAACGCCATATTCCTTTAAGGTAAACCAGTGGTATGGTAATAATGTACAATTGTAAGTTCTTCATCATTCATCTATGTTCACAACAGAAATTAAAATAAAATATTCAAATTTCAATACACAGTGAACACTTTATGTCTTGACATTGATTTCAGAAAAGTTAAAAAATGAGGCAATTTATTCCACGAATAACAGATAAGATATTCAGCGAAGAGGACACTTTTCAACGAATTTACTCTCAAGTTGTACATTCGTATATGTATAACTTAAATAATGAGAGATTGGAATAATAATTGTGGTGGTTATAATTATAATGTTGGTAGTTGATGATATAAAGGTCTAATGATAACAAAAAGAATTATGCAAGATTTTTAAATCGTTTATAAGGTGCATATAGATTAAAAAAGGTGAAAACGTGATAGAGTTAATAAACAATCAAAGGATTAAGTAATACGAGTGAGACAAGTTAGTTCGAATAAATTGAAAATGTTTTGTTAGAAGTTCAGATCATTAGGAAGATCAAATGAAATAACACCGGGAACAATTAAATATAAAAATAAAGTGATAATGACGACATAATAGTATAAAGGTTATTTTGACAGTGAAAGGGGGAGGGGGTTGAAAAAACAAAAAGGAACGAAGAATACTAAGACTAAACCAAGTTACGGCCAAGGTAGAGAGAGACAAAGACTGTACATACTTCTTTTGCATACAAAAGTCAGGCAGGTTTCAGTTCATGGATAAAAAAGGCCTCTGCTGTTTTTAGAGTCTGAACACGGAGGAAGCGTGAGATGTTTGAGCGAATTCGATAGACGACCTTAAAATCGTAGTTTGGGTCGATTGGATGGTTGAAATCGATTAAATGTTCAAGGATAGAACTTTTGATGTATTTCCTATCACTGTTTTAAAACCAGACCGGAATATGTTCTCGTATACGTGTTGCCTGCATTCTCTGACTACGGCCGATCTACCTTGCTGCTTTAGGAGCTGAACACAAGGGAAACGTGGAGTTTGAGCGAATTCGATAGACAATCTTAAAATTCTTGTTTGAGTCGGTTGAATGGTTAGAATCGATTAAATGTTCAGGGATAAAACTTCTGACGCATTTTCTTTCAGCTTGAGAATAATTCATTGAAAAGAATCCTCTTCGCTGAATATCTCGTTTTTGATAGCAGATAAGAGTAAAACTGGATCAGTGGTCAAGTTTAATAATGAAACTATGTCGCACTGCTCAGGATATTCACTTGTTAATGACCAACTGGGATAGAAAAGCTGACTGCGTAGCGGACAGCTTAACAACAGAAGTTCATAGTAAATGACTACTGTCTGCCTGTGTCATGTGTTTACTGAGCAAAAAAAACAAAGGTTTGTGTTCTCAATACACCTATTATCTGAGGGCTTATATACATGGGACTTCAGAATTTCGTTGCTCTTGAGCGACTCATAGATAACCTTGGACGTACCAATGAGGAAAAGGTTGCCTCTGCTTAGTTTTTAACATAGAAATGAAGGGAAATTAAAGCAGATTTTTTGGAACGTTTAGGAACCTATTTAAGTTTTTAAATGATTTTTACAACCTGAAGTAAAAGGATGTATGATACAGGGTATTTATTCATTTGATTCGATAGCATTAAATCCCATAAACTGTGATATGGACGAAAATAAGCCCACAGGCGGCTCCATATTGCCTTTATATTACTTTTAAGAACCCTCTGTAGGGAGAATTAAGAATTACAGTTTGGGATTTAAAAATAGACATCAGATTCTTGCAGATGAATATTAGGATGTTAGATTTAGAAGCGCGCAGCGCTAAAAACAAGATCTAATCGGTTTCTGTGGCGTTTTATAACTAAATGGGTAATATAAACTTCAAATTAATTGGTGGAGTTTAAGGAGTCAAAATAAACGTTGTGATTGGGTTCTATGATGTGCAACATAATAGTAAAAGATACTTCAGCGTGAACATCGTGTCAAAATTTTGTCCGTTTTAAAAAATATAGGCAAATGAAAGACCCTGTAGAACTAGCAAATAAGTTGATAAGATCATATGAGAAATAACTCCCTTCGATGCAACCGAAATTATCCCCAAAATTCTGCATAACACTACCTACAATCAACGATATTCATTCAATAATCCAAAGCTTTCCAGAACGACCACACAGTCATCTTCAACGTGACTGGCCACTTCAAACGTATTTCATAGTCGTTAAAAGACGACAAGATCTTTTAGTTTCACCGGTTAATGTTACTACGTTAGTCTGCCCCCACTCTAGAATGTAAATTAGGGCTAGAACCCGTGAGAAACTATCGCACCACTAACGATATTAACAGACAGACTACACTTGAACTGCTTGCTAGTCTCTCCTACCTACGTGCACTACATCTGAACCAACGGACGATCGGAAACCAAAATATCTACGTACATTCTGCCGCGTCACGTAAAACATACCCTGCTTATTTCCAAGGGTCATTTATTAGGAACATCAAGATCAATAAAATGAGAGGTCCCACTTGTAGGCCACAGTTCTCAATCCACTAAAGATCTAAGTAAAAATAAAAATTGGGCTGGAACTGTTGCTAAATTTCCAGTAATCAAAGAAACTGTCCCTGGGAACTTTATTCACTGTCACAGAATTAAGAAGAATAGCCATTAGCGAATACTTAGTGACCACTACTTCGGCACACTGCGCCGAAGTTGCTGCTCAACGGTTTGATACCTATTCAGTAAGTCATTGGAAGATAAATAGTTGGTCAACCCGGTCTATTATTCATAAGGAAAGATATCAACACAGTGCTTTTGAAATGCTGAAACTGACTGACTGACAAAATCAACGTAGAACCTTCCACACACGTGCATCCAATCAATTCGCCACACTTCACGGTAGTTCACAGAAAACAGGTGGATACAATAAGAGTGATATCAAAGTAGACAAAGTTATATGAGGAAATAAACAATCCATAGATGAAGGAAGTTTAGTGCGAATCTTCAAGCTTTAGAAGACGTGGAGAACTGAATACATCTGCGCCATTATGACAGACTTTCAGCCATGTCACGAAGAGTCCTCATCCATTGATTTATTTCATCTCGGGGACCATAACCAGCCAGACAATCTACATCTCTCCCACGCAACAGACCAACACTCAGAAACTTCATCTACTGATGTCACATCTCGCCTGTTCTGATCACCCTGAACCTAATTCAACATTGCACGTCCAAGTGGGTGGTGGATCGGCATGCGCAGTGTATGTCTAAACCACCTCAGTCGACTAAGGTTTACGACCTCATCAATCGTCTTGCCTAGTACCCTTCGTCTGACCTTAACATTGCTCACACGGTGATTCCACCAAACGTGAACAAAGATACCTATGATTGGAACTCAGTAATCATTTCATTGCTCCTACTTTTAATGACCATGTTTCGACCATGCAACAGGACGGAATGGATTGTAGCGCAGTATACTTGTCCCTTGGTAGGTAGTCGGATATCTCGCCATTGGGTATCACAGGTGACGCAAGTTGGCAAATGCGAAACAGGCCTTGTGTATCCGAGGTGAGATTTCGTCAACAACCAACCTGTTCGGGCTAATGCAACTTCCCAAGGGAATGAAGTCGTCGAAACATTTCACCTTTCCTATCCACTCCCTATCATTAAACTGGGAGTACTTTCAGCAGACCAATCCTGGAGCATCATTTTACATTTGACAGGTGATAGCAAAACGCATGCCGAACACACTCAAATTCATGCCTAACTCGTTGAGAAGGCACTGCATTGCGTGGGCGTCTTCAAGTAGCAAGACAACATAGTCTGCATACTACAAGTCAGCGAGACCGCTTCCATGGAGTAGATTGATCCCTTTGAAGTCAGATGTACCTAAGGTTATCTCCAGCAGTACGCCTACGATGAAGATAAACAAGAACCATGACAGTGCGCGTTCCTTGTGAACCCCGCTATTTGTCGTCACTTTACATAACAGCCTTCTATCAGCTCTGAGATGGCTGCATGAGTTAAAGTAGAGAGCTTTGATAACCATAATTTAATTCCTCGGTACCCCGTTTACAGTTTGACACTCCCACAACACCTCACAGTTGACAGAGTTAAATGATAGACATAATGTGTGGATGCATCGATACCACTGACGTCGATTCTCAGCCATGTTATCTAAAGTTTCCAACCACAGTTTTCTGTTAACGCGCGGACCCCAACCCGCATGTCAACATTTCCTTACACGGCTCAGATCAAAATCGGAGATTTCATGCATTGACGCCATGTTTTAATCTGGTCTAACCTAACCCTCCTCATGCATTAACCTACTTCAACTAACATTTCGCGACGGGGCCGACGGTAACTAGGCATGCGTAACACATGTCCAAGCTAGCCAAATGAAGGTTGACAAATCGAACAACTTTATTCTCTTTCCCAAAACTCAACACCTCACTCCTGCATTACTGATGTGATGACACTACGACAAATGGCCTATGCAATGGAGCCACCTCATGTTCTCTACACTTGACGGTCATGTGTCACAGCTATATAGTTAAACATGGCAAACTGCAGTGCAGTACACTTGACACTTTACAGGTAATTTCATATTACTGCGGTCCCATACATGGTGTAAGTTAGTCAAGGCCAATCGACACTTTTGTATCCGTGAAGAGATTTCATCGACGACTAACCGACTAGGACTGGTTCGACTTCCCAAGTCAACTTGGTTGACGTATCCAACCACTTCGCTCCCTATTGTTAAACTAAGCAGCAACGCAGACCAGTTCTGGAGCAACCATTTGTATTTGGGTGGCAAAAACGCATCCCGAACATTCCCAAACTGTCACTCAAGGCCTCCAGGAGACTTTGCACCTTGTCAGTGTCTTCATTTGGTAAGACTACAGTCTATATCTACCAAGGATTGTTATGTGATAAGGCCAAACTTTGTAAAGCCATATGACGTGAGGTAGACCCAATTAAGGACTTTGAATAAGAATAAAAACATTGGGCGTCCTTGGTGGGCACCACTTGGTGTACACAACTTAACTGATAACTCACTATAGGCTCTAGAACGCCCACCGGCGTTAGAATATAGAGCTTCCAATAAAGTGTTTGTGATCATAAACAACAATAAAATGATGAAGTGACAGTGGTGTGTGTAGTATTAAAATAGAGTAAAATCTGACACAGGAACAGAAACGCAGGATCTGTACATAATGTTTTACAATTTAAAATGGTGTTAAATCATGTGATTTTTAGTAGTTGGTGTAATCAACTGATGGTGGATGTATGTACAATTGTTCGGTCAGCTCCAAGTCCCAGGCTGGACCGCGTCTTCGTGGACGTTATTGTCCAAGAACCTGGGAGATTGGTTCGCCCACCGAGCAAGAAATGTCACAGCAACTCATTCACATGAAAACGAATACTCCTGCCAGAGCATGCTGTTAACACTCCCTCAGAACTGATTGGTGTAATTCCAAAGCCCTCCAAACTGTTGGGCTTCAAAGCATCCACATCCACCGGGTAATTGGGTAGTTTGAACGTACTCACCTCCCCGCGGACAGACATGCATGAGGTGCGTCTTAATGAATGCGGTATGATCTTGCAGAAGAGATGCAGCTCACCATCCCAGAAGATTACCCCCTTTACATCAACGCTACAGAGGACGACACCCGGCACTCCCGACAGGATACCGCGCACCTTCGCAAGGCAAACGATGCTACCCCTCTTGGGATTGTTTCGACAAAAGTTACTACCGGAATTAGAAAGTTAGATTTCTTTACCTTTCGGTTATCTAGGTTGTCCGTGCTTTGAAGACCCGCACAACTGGCCTGCGCATATGGATCTAGTCAACCGTGTTTACCGCCAAATCAACTCTAACGGTGAATCGGTTGATATACAGCAAGGCTATGAGGAGGCTCACCGTCGTTGCGTAACTAGGCTCGACCAGTAATCACCGGTGTACACATCATCTTCGGTTTTCCTGGCCAGTGGTGAAAAACACCCACACCACCCAACCACACCGCGTACAGCTTCTTCCCGTTGCCACCCCGGTACGTAACTATGGCGGGGCATTCGGCTACCTTGAGAGAGTCATGTGTACAAGTTACAGTTCCTACTACCAAAAATAAACAACTCGACATATTCGTTTGCAAGTTCTTGGCTGTCAACAAAGAAAAAATCACTCAAAAGTAAATGGTGACTGACTGATATACTACGCTAGCTGCATTTCATGTCCAAACATACAGACAATTACGAAACAACTATTTGCATACAATGGGTAAAAACAAGCAAAATGGAAGCTTAACTTACTTAGAAACTAGGTTTCATTTTTATCCTGGGAATTCTGAATCAATTTCCATGAATACAGGATGGTCTATTGCGGAAGTGGAAGAGGAGAAGATATCAGGGGAATAAATTAGTTGACCGCTTGGTAGTACTGAAATCTCAGAGTTTTCTTGAGATGACTGATTTGTAGAATCGGAAGGGAGTAAACTCTTGAAACGATCTGGATCGAAAGGCACTATAGCAAGTGACGGTTCAGATGACAACCTAAATGTGTTCGTAGAAAAAATCTAGTCGATGAATAACATGAAAAGTGTCGGTGAATATATTTTTAAATATGCCCAATGAAAAGATGATCAGTAGGCTTTGTATAAGGCAGGTAAATAGTTCAGATAGACAAGCATGATTAAAAAAAGCACCAGGCTGATTCCTAAAATCAATAAATAAAGACGTTTTTCTGTCTTTTCTGCATAAAATGACTTCTCCATCATCTTTTCGGCAGATTACTCCTAAATTGGTAAAGAAAAGTCCGTATACGAAAATTAAATTCTGTTATCATAAGTAAACTACCTACATTTTATTCAACGATCGATAGGCGAGACCGAAACGAATCGAAATGCACTCAACATGTACGTGCGCGTTCATGCAGTAGGCAATGAATCACATCAATTGTATAAGTAGTGGTGATACTACCTGGTTATCGAGATGTCAGTAGATGGAGCAGAGTTCGAATCCGTGAAATCGTCTGCCTAGACCAATGAGACACAGCCCCCCATTGGTTGGTACAATTTTATAGGTGAAGACATAGAGAATGTAAGAAACATGTTTATGGTAAGTATTGTGAATTTTGCATTATGCACATGAAAAGAGAAAATATATTATAATTATTCGAACTAGTGAACCTGAAATTGGTTGTAGTACACTATATTTTTCCTCACCGAGTATAGAAAGAGAATAGCATCAATATGAATCTTTTTTACTTTGACTGGTTGTTGTGAATTCCGTTTACGTCTTTAATAAAAGATCTTTCAATCAAAAATATATGGCATTTTAAACTATATGTTAAGATAAAAGAATCGAGCTGAGTCAGGCAAAACAGCATATTACTTTAGGTCGCTACGTTTAACATATCTTCAGTAATAAAAACAGATAAATAAAACAAACAATAAACAATTTAAAATAACGATACCGGTACTAAGGAAGCTTTGAGAGGAAGGTAAGTAGTATAATTTATGATGGATCATAAAAGTATGCAGATAGACAGGCAAAATCGACATACAGTCTCGTATAGAATTGCAACAGTTCAAGCTACGACACTTCACAGCAGCATACGAAGAATAAATAGGTAGAACAGTGAAAAATCCCTTTATGATGAACAAAAGATCACAAAAACAAAAAATTCAGAACATGAAGTAATTCTGCAAAACAAATGACTTGACTTACAATCCTTTCAAAAACGCATCCGTTGGATTGATCCGACTACACCTTAAATGATCTTTTAAATCTTCAGAAAATCGTAAAAGTGATCTATAAATTAGGAATAAAAGGATATACAAATGAAACCAGCAGAGAATGTATGTATACTAATTAATTATTTCGTTTCTTATCTTAATCAGTGAAAATAAGCTGTTTTTATTCGATACTTGTAATATCTAGTTGCTATACTGGGACGAATTGCTCGGCGTCTACTGGCAGATGAACTACAATGCGGATACCTCGATACTGCCCAATTACTTATTATGCTGTAGTCAGCATGGTGAATAGCAGTGAAACCCATGACGTACGTTTTGTCCTATATGCGACCCATCAGTTGGATGTACCTTCATCCCAGTGGGTGTTGTCCCCACTGGGACGCGAACTCAGTAACCATCGCTTCAAACGCCAAAGCATCATTAACTATGCCACCAGGGCACGAGAGCTACCTCTCATGCAACGGATATCAGCAAACTGCAACACTGAAGGTGTTTTTATTAAATACGAATCTTGATACTGGGTGATGATTGAAGGTGAAATGAAAAATTTGAACTGCAGCCGGATTCAAACCAGCGAACATCGGGTTTCCGGCCCGATGCTCTACTAACTGACTAGGCAGCCAGTGTGGGTACGATCAAGCGATAGTAACGCATAACGAACTCACATGGTAGTCGGGAAAAACCCTTGGTGATTGAAGCTAAATAAAAATCTGGTCAGCAGTCAGGAGTCGTAGCTCAGTTGGTAGAGCATCGGGTCGGAAACCCGGTGGTCGCTGGTTCGAATCAGATTGTGGTCCAAATTTTCACTTCACTTTCAATCATCACCCAGTATCAACTCTAGTCTACAAAACCATGGCTATCTTGGACAGTCAAAATGATAATTAAAATACCAGTATTGTGATGTTTGCTGAAGGATGTGGAGTAGTTACAGAGCATTAATCTCGACAAGTAACTCAAGTTAATATTTCTAGAAACGGAAACCACTGAAACTCCAAGACTTCGTCCGTGTCTCCGCATTTATTTGTCTCATGTCTACTTTATGCTACCACCATGTACAGACAACCTGAGGGATGTTATGTATTTACATTATAAGCAGCAAATGCACATTTAATTTCGCACGAGAAAATGAACCACATTTGGAGGGTGATATTCACGCTAAATTTAAGACTAATAAACTTAGCCCAGTTCATTCAGAAGAATGATTACCGGTATATAAACATAAGTATCAATAGGAATGCACTGTTAGTTAATCAGTGTAGTACATTAAAGGATAACTAGTACAGCTACAATGACTAACTCAGAGTTTAGGTATGTGTGAATAACTGAGATTATCTTCTTCAGACATGCCAACACGATTCACAAATTCAAGACACTTAATTTTGTACATTAAGCTAAATTATAAACTATCTTCCGAACAAAAGTGATGATATTATTATAAGGTTTAAATGAAGTAAAAATATTATCCACTAATTCTACTGATGCAAAGTATCACTTAACGAAAATGTTAAGGAATTCTAATAAATTCGACAAGTCTTATTCAAAAGGTTCATCAAAGAGTAGTCAGGCATCTGTAGACAGTGGCATATGCAGTAATAACACTAATGTGCACGATACTAGAGGAGTTGCTGAAGAGCATAAAGTTGACTTGATAAAAATGAATTTCTTAGTTCGAGTGCGGACATCCCACTCTCAAAAAACAGTAACATTGAGCACATAATCCTGAAAAGTCTCACAAAAGGCTAAATAAGCTACGCAGTAGATCATTATTAGTGTTTATTCAATTGACATGGAATCGCAGTGATGACAATGACACTCTTGACTATAAGTGAAATTAATTCCAACATTTTGAATTAAGATAGTTATGGATAAAAATCACTTACGGATGAACTGAGGGGTGAAAACAGTAGAACATACCAACAACTAAGTGCATGTTTATGTATCATATCTGATGTGAGAGCTAACAATGATACTCGTCTATTCTTAAATGATAAAAGGTAAATTGGAGTGTGTTACAACAGTTCAAAGTCGAGTTCTTAAGTCAATTAACTACAGTTCCATGACAGAGAAGAATAAAACAATTTTTCACAAACCCGTTGTCGTGCCCATCCTCGTCACTTTCATCTTCACCTTCACTAACGTTCTCAGTATTTGCTTTTCTATTGGTACAAAGTGACAAGTTTTGATAAATGTCCTGAGCTGCAGTGATCTGAATTGCATCAAATGGGGAACTAGAAGAAACACTGACTGGAGGTATATTATTATTATTATGCGTAATTTTGGTTGCATTAACTGGTAGGGTTAAATTCATTTGCGCAAAATGATTTGCCATAGCAGCTTCACAAAAATAGTATTTTTGAGGTATTGCATCATCTGAGAAAAGGTCGCTACAAAGAATTGAGAAAACAATGGGAATGCGTAAACTTTTACTTCTACAAGATTGTCAACTTTAAAAAGACTGCAGTTATATACACTGAGATTGAGTGGGATAAGATAAAACATGAATCACTAATGAATTAAGAATTCATTTAAGCACTGCAATGAGTGATGGTGCGTAATGCGAGGTAAGTATTCAGTTTTGTTGGTAAAATCTTAAAAAATGTTCAAGAAAACCTGCACAACTTGCCATTTTGGTGGATGCTGACGAATTTGGTACTGATAAAACTAAAGTCAAGACAGTTTGTTTTAGGATGAGTCACCTACAGTGGTAACGTGGTGCTTGCGTAGATATGAAAGTCTGTGTACTTCCAATAATACTCTAGGTTTGTAGAACACAACTGGTTCAGGATAGAAAAATATCCAGTACTTATATGCAACCAAAATTGTTTTTGATTTTGCATCTATATAGTAACGGCTAAAGTTTAGTGGAATGAGTTCAAACATAATGTAAAATGGTTCCTTAGTTAGTGAAATCATCTCGCAACATATATTTGTTTCATGCATTTAGATCCCTCGGTAAATTTGAAAAAAGCAAGGATGAGATTTGTAGCGCAAAATATCAATTTATTTCATGAGTACTCTTCAGCTGCATACAGTCTAAAAGCACATTTTAAACAGCCACATCAACTTTCGCAACGAACATTGTTCATTTACGCCAGAGAAGTAGAAAGAAGTTTGTTTGATCAAACAGCATGACAAAATGAAAGATAGATATATCAGTTTGGCATCGATCAGCCGAGGTACACAACCTCATCAATCGACTTGCCTTTCTTGCCCAGCACCCTTCGTCTGACCTCAACATTGCTCATATGGTGATTCCAGCAGACGTGAACAACGCTATGAAGACACCTTGATTAAAACTCAGTAATCGTTTCATTGCTCCTACTTTTAATGGCCATATCTCGCAGCCGTATGACAGGACAGAACGGACTGCAGCGCAATATACTCCTTCTTTGATATGCAGTCAGATCTTTCGCCTGACAGCGCCATAGGTGACCCAAGTTGGCAAATGTAAAACAGGCCTTGTGTATCCGGGCTGAGATTTCGTCAACAACCAACCCGCTAAGGGGGTGATGCAACTCCCCAAGTGAATGGAGTTATCGACACATCCCATCACTTCATTAAACTGGGAGTACTTTCAGCAGATTAGTCCTGAGGCATCATTTTACATTTGACAAATAGGAAATGCATACTATCTTGCTTGGTAGAGTTTGAACGTTGAACGCTCCAACATGAAACCGATGGCGAGGTCTTAAGCGACTAGGCATGGGCACGTGGTGGCTTTGATCCTTGGCATTGGTTGCAGAGTGAGAGCTTAAGGGAATTGTAAGAGGCTTAATATTAGTATCAGGTGAAAGCGATGGAGGAGACAGAGTTGGGGATGATAGGTTGACCAGGCGGTCTACCTAAAATCTGGGCTACCGAAAGTTTCTCGCTGGATATATTTCATCAAATTCCTTCTTTTAACTTGTTTTAGTCATTCCAATATATCTTTTAAATGCATCATGTACTCTTGCACACTTTTTAAATGGTTTTAATCAGCTGCTTTTTCAGCTAACAAAACCAAAAAACGGTACGCCGGTAACAAATGGGTTTAAAAACGCACAGAAATGCAGTACATTACCGTCTCTTGAATAACTTAGTCGAATCGCAAAATTTGGTACTGGTTGGGTCAACTACCACCACCAAAATTACCCTGCATTTTGAATTCATTAAACATTCCAAACCAAATCTTAATGTAATACCAGGTGCCTGTTTAACATTGCGGTTTCTATCACAGTTATTAATAACATTATTTAAATGAAATGATCATTTCTACTACGGATACAGTCAAGGGAATGCATTTGTCGAACTATTACATGCAAGAATTCCATACTGCACCACACGTGTTGTTTAGAATAATGCTATTACTATTATTACCATCATTGCTATTGCGTTTAGCTGGGTCTTGTATAACACTGGAAGCGTGCGGGAAGTCAAGACTTCCCGGCTACCCACACTATGGAAGTTGTTCCCAGAAGAAAAGATTTATGATCACAAAGCACATGAGACATCTGCTTGAGATCCATTATACATAACCTAGTTTCCAACGGCTGATAGCTGCTACCTTGACGTGGTGGTCGAGCGTGCATATCACAGTGACCCGACCAGCCATTCTGCTGGAACGCTTTTTCCCTCGCAATCCTACTATGCTAGGAATGTATGTTGGTTAGTGGTAAGACCAAAAACAGTTGCCGTTGTAGTGTAAATTACTGCACTATCATGTGGGTCTGAGGGTGAAGTCATACTGCTAGCTGGATGAGATGACATCAGTAGGGTGTTTCCCATAGATGACCAGCAGTGCCACACTGATGCTCCCTTCCTTATGGGAAGCGTGGGAGTGGGGTAGAAAAGGTCGGCCTCAAAATAGTACACTCCTCCCTGTCCCACGGTCTCTTACTGCCAACAGTAAGGGTATTTTGTTTATCCAGCATTAGAACAACCAAGCCTCAAATAGGATTTACATAAACTTTTTAAGACCGTTACTGAAGTCATTTTTATTGACTTAAAATCCTTCTTTTCGGTTGAACCAATTCCTTTCTAAAATATTATTAATAATTCACTTTTGTTTGCAAGTAAAAGAGCAGATTCTTATAAAACACTAGTTGAAGTACCTTACATCTAACTAGTATGAAGGAAAGCGTCATTATTAACAATGATAAATTACACTGGACGGGAAACGAAAGAAGTTAACAATTTCATGAACAAAACCGAAGCCTTATTTTACTAAGAAGCTGATCAATTTTTAAATGTACATTAGGAAAGTTTTGATAACATGAGGCCTTATTAAAATATCTGACGATACAAAATCTATCAATAGTGCAAAAGCGTCAGTCATGTATAGCCAGAAGTTCTAAGTATCCAGTAGCACTGCGCTAGGCAGACAGCACAAATGTAAACAGACATGTTAGAAGTATTCAATCCCTTCCCAAAAGCACTGGTCATGTGCTGCTAACACAACATAAAGCTGCATTCAGAGGAGCAGCAAGATGCAGAAACTAAATCGGTAGATAATCTTTTACATGCATCGACTTAGGTGACCGGCAAGTCATTTATGCCGAACTGTTGCATACCTCAACGTGCCATCTTGACTGAAGTGTGAAATTCAATGGTAATTACCTCTGTTTACACTCTTTCAGGTGTAGTGACGTATGATTCGGTGATCCACAGGCTGAAAGACGACAGCTTCAGCCAATGAGTCACAACCCCAAGAGATATGACGACGTTGGAAGACATAAGCGTCATAGCCTAACATAGTTATTGATTATCAGTTTTCACTATTAACATGAATAAAGAATTCTTGGTTTAAGTATACCAAATGACGGATAGATACCTGCACTTGAAGAAATAAGTTGATAACTAAAAATCAGGCATAATGGCTAAGATATGGGCACATTAACCCATCATCATCATCATTATCAACATAGGACCAGGCATTACTGCGTAACGGTCCGAGTTGCCACACCTCATATCAGCACATCAAGTAAAAAGGTAGTGAGGTGAAGGATGAAGATAAGTGAATGCAGTCAAAAGAAATATAAAGTACGAGAAGAAAGGAAAGAGGAGTGACAAAATAGTGAGATTCGGTATAGCGTTGTTAAGATGAGGATAATGTGTGTATACATCTGCGCCACTGACTTCGGTTCTGAGCCATATCACCTAGGGTCTCCAACCACTGGTTCCTCTTGTCCCGTGGACCCCAACCACCTAGTCTGCATCGTCCTACATGGCTTAAACCAACAGTCAGAGACTTCATACATTGGTGCCATGTTTTAGTCTGGCCACCTCGGGCCTTTTTCCAGCCTGAACCCACCTCAGCCAACATTGTGTGACGAGGCAATCGGTGACTAGGCATACGTAGTACGTGTCCCAACCATCTCAGTCGATGAAGGTTCACAACCTCGTCGACTGACTTACCTCTTCTCCCTAAAACTCTACACCTAACTTCTGCATTACTCACATGGTGACACCACGGAATACGTCCTATACTACGAAGGCAACGGTGGTCAAACACCTGAAACCTTCTTGTATCTTCCACTTTCAATGGCCATGTTTCACAGCCATACAGTAGAACAGAGCGGACTGCTGTGCAGTACACGCGACCCTTAATAGACAAACGAATATCACGGCGGCGCCATAGGTGGCGCAAATTGGCAAAAGCCAATCGAGCCTTTTGTATCCGTGCAGAAATCTCATCGGCAACTAACCCACCGGGTTGATCCTACTTCCCAGGTAAGTGAAGTGGTCAACACACTCAACCACTTCACTCTCTATTGTTAACCGCGGTACCGCTGAAGACCAGTCCTGGAGCAAAAATTTGCATTTGGGTGGTGAAAATCGCATCCCAAACATTCTCAAATTCCCACTCAAAGTGTTCAGAAGACTCTGCATCTTGTCAGCGTCTTCACCTAACAGGACTATGTCATCTGCATATTCTAGATCTAAGGAAAATTCTCCTGTGATCCGGTCAACGTCTTTGTAATTAGGTGACGAGAGGGAAACCTCCATAAGAATATCTATGATAAAATTAAATAAGAATGGGGATAGTGGGCATCCTTGACGGACACCACTTGATGAGTATAGCTCCCTGGACAACTCACCATAGGCTCTAACATGCCCACAAGTGTTCGAGTAGAGAGCTTTCAATAAGGTGATGTACTTACTAGGCACGCCTTTCAGTGACAGACACTGCCATAAGACTTCTCGATCAACGGAGTCAAATGCCGCCTTCAGGTCGAGAAATACAGCTATTGTCGGGCGTCTGTAAGCATGCCTATGTTCCAGGACCTGGCGCAGTGTGAATATTTGGTCGATACATCCACGGCCAGGTCTAAAGCCTGCCTGGTTTTCTCGGGCTTGCTGTTCCCGAGCTCCACTCAGGCGTCGGAGAATTATAGAACTTAGGATC